TTTTAACATGCGCATGCTATCGGCCTTTTAGGGGGACGGACCTTTTTTTCCTCGTTTTTTCTTGAATAACTGATAGACATCCGTTTTAAAATGAATCCTGTCGTAGCTGTCAGGTAGGGTCTTACGAATCACAGGAATTTGACTTGAGGCATTTTCAAAATACATCACTAGCGAGTTCCAGCTTGCTTGGTTAAGTCAAAGCAGAAAAACAAATCATAAACTACTGCTCCAGGTAAAAAGGTGGGGAAAGAAATAACATAATAGTGGGAAAAAAGTTATACAAAAATCACAATTGCTTAAATAATATGAGAACAGGTACAACTTCACACAAACTAATCACTCCTTTTGGTCACAAGATGAACATCTGCTTTGTCACAGAAAACTCAAGTTCATATTTTAGAGCTCTGCATAGCAAAATATAAAACTGCCACTTGAAATCTGAACTCTACAAATTAAGAGTTTTTCCTGTGTATAGGAGGCTATATATTGTTGGACAAGCAGCCCCAATGAGATGAGATTTCTGACAAAGCAGAGGACAGAAGCTCTGACTGAAGTGCACAAAGATCCTGAAATGGATACAAACCTAAGGTGCTACTCCATGTACAGCAACTTGCCACCTAATTCTTCATAGCCCCTCAGAGGGGGAAATATTAGAACAATTCAAAGTGCCCTTTTTATGGAAACTAAACTGCTTATACAGAAGTACAGAGTAAAAACTGATTTAAACAGAAGGAAAACTACAGCAGAGGTCTGTGTGGTTATATGACTGATGCTGCCACCTGCTGAAAATGTGATGTGAAACATTTGTCAAATCAAAGTGATGCCGTATTTTTCTATGTTCCAGTATTATATTCATGTTTAAAATCAGAATCTCTGTCATATAAGATGATAAGGAAAAAAAAAGTGGTGCTCAGCACCATAAAACTGGACAGCAATGCATGGCTTTTATACATTTTATATGTAAAGTGTCATTCTCAAAAAGATAATACAGTATCAAAAATAAGCCTCTCAACAATCCAAAATAAATCAGAGCACTGAAACCTACAGAACAGTTACCAACCCAACATCTACTAAACTCGGACTTCAAAACTAATTTCCCTCATTTCTTAAACACAGGATTGCTGACAGACCGATGATCAGCTTAAAACACTTCGCACAAAGAGTTCAAATCTTAATTTAACAAAACAGAATCTTTGTAAACACAAGAATCACAGGACATGGAGGACAACACTTTTAGGACTCTGTGCTGAAGAGTACCTGCTCTTTCTAAATGTAACTATTAAAAAAAAGTAACAATTTTAAAAATGTCCAGTCAACTTAAATGTGTCCTCAATATGTGAATCAGAGAATAACACAACTGTCCAAGGTCAAGAATTGCAATTAAACCTGAAAACAACTCCCAGCCATAAACTGTGCTCTTCCTTCTTGCGAAAAAAAAAGGCCTGAATACAAGTCTCCATGTTAGATCTCTGCTGACAGTCACTCTAAATGATCCTTCTTATACCCTTAATGCACAAGAGTGCTCTGGAGGAGTGCAGAACTGCAAACGAAGCATTACTCCTCTTTGTGTGGAGCTCCTTTATGGTCGTAATCTGTTGATTGCTCAGCGTTTGTCTCGCCTTTTATCAATTTCCTTTCGAATTCGAACCTTCAGAGCTGCCCGCATGGCTGCATCCAGGATGTTCTTCTCTGCAACACGTTCTACCACCTTCTCAGGCTTGTCTTCCTTCAGAAACAGAGGGCATTTAAAGGAATTACACACAGGAAATGACCAAAGAGCTGAAAACACCATAGAAAGAAATCGGCATTAACCTTGTGCACAAGGATGGATGTAATGGTACCAGAATCTGCTTCATATTCAAGCCAAAAGAGTTCAGTCCCACTGGCGTCAGTCTCTGTGCTTGATCCACTCTCGTTTTCTTCAGCATCAGCACCGGCCCCTGGCTCTGAACCATCTGAACAATGAGCGCACACACACACACACACACACATTATCTTCCCGATAATGGGTGCACAATCAGCACAAAAGTCAAGAGAAAGCACATCAGTCTTACGTCTTCTTCGAGGATGGTACACTTGCATGTCAGGTCGACGGGGTCTTCGAGGGGTTGTGGTGTGTCTCCGCCGCTGAAGCTCTTTGGCTTGCTTCACTTCTTTATCATAGTCATCTCTGGAGGAAGGGAATCAAAATTTTGTTAATGCAGAAAATATGACAACTTGGTTGTTCCATGGCATATGAATAAATAAATAATAAAAATAAAACCTAAATCAAGAACATGTAATAAACAATTTGTTCATTCAAAAAGAAAGAAAAGAAAAGATTAAGCCTCAGAAATATTTTTAACTCTTCCCTGTGATGCTCTCATTTTCATCTTACTGTTAATTTTACCTGGCTTTTTTTTTTTAAATTACATGAAATTAATGCTAAAACAGCAGAATGAAACAACCGCATTTAATAATAACCTGTCATGTGGACTACTATCAAAGTCACAGATTGCAGAATTCTCCATTTATTCAAACCCAAGCATTAACGGAGTAACACTGTTTTTTTAATTGTGATTTTTGACTTGACTAACCACTGTATACAGAGGTCACCTTTTAAATAAAATTGAAAGACACTGACAGCAAAATGCCCCTTTTTACCAGTCAGCCAGTCTTCAGCCAGTATTGAGAAGCTTAAATACAGGCTTGCAATGTAATTTGGGGATTTTCTTTGAACAGTCTTTTTGTGTGTGAAATGATTCATGGACATGATATCCATGCCTACATATGCATGTATGTAAATTTATAACAGTTTGTTGTATAGTTCAGAAAATGCATTATGAAAGTAGGTCGTTCCTATGTAAATTTGGCACAAAAAGTAAGGTCCATTATTTCTTTCTTGTAACAATCCACCTTGCAAATAAATCTCATACTGTTGGAAGCCTTTTTATTTGCCCTTCAGTAGTCCCACATTTCTAAGGAAAATGCATTTTTCCTAACATATGCATTGAATGATCAGCAGAGGTGAGTATGGGGGTTGTGCCATGAAAAACCTGCTAAATCTTCTCTGCCAATACCAAACAGCCTATTCTGCTATTGACTCTTGTTTGGTGTTGTCTACTGAACTAGATGATTTAAGTATTAAATTTTTTTTAGCAATTTTTTAATCCAAGAAATATGGGGCTATGCATGCAGCAGTAACCATACGCAGCCTCAACAGCTTGGCATCTTCTATGCTGGTCACCGGTTTGGTCCACATCCAAGCTGATCACATAACTGTTCAACAGGGTCAGGACTTCAGGTAGGACATTCCATCCTCTTCACTCTCAAAGACCGGAGCTGAGGTGGTCCGCTCTGTTGTGGTGACCACCATTTGCAGAATCTCATCTCAATATCTCTTGCCTTGAGATTGGCTCAAATTTTGGCAAGCCTCGTTTTTCCACCAAAGGAGATGCTGCCCCACGTTATAACACTACCTCCACCAAAAGCTGCTACCCTATCAGTGCAGCAATCATCACAGTGTCCCAGTGCACATGTTGCCAACAGCAGCGCAAATTTGCCTGATGGTGAACAGCAGTCATGGCAAGCCTCCTGGCAGCCCTATGACACTGGAGATTGGCCTTGGGAGTCTGGTCCGGATTTTCTGGGTAGAGCGCAGTCAGTCATACTGTTCTGCAAACCTTGACTGAAAATCTACAGAAGTCTGACTTCTGTTCCAAAGTGCTGACAGGGTGAAGAAACAGTCTTCTTATTGTGTCGTCTTCTTGGGATTCCCATTTCGTCGCCTGTCTGACATCCTGCGTCAAATAGAACTTGGCCCTTAATTTGGATAAGGTACTTGAAGTTGCCCTATTGGCACGTACCCTGTAAGGTCCACGATAACAGGTGGTGCTAATCCGGCAACAACCAGACACCTGACTGTCTGTATCCGGGATACTAGAATCTCAAAACAAGAGTCAGTAGCAGAAAAAAACTGTTTAGGATTCACAGAGAAGATTTGCCAGGTTTTTTCATGGACACATCCCACAAGTGGCACAATTTAAGAGGACATAAACAGACTTTACAGTGAAATATCACTTATTTTCAAAAGCCAAATACAGATTTTCCTTACCTTTTGTGCCAAGTTTACTTGCTATACTGAAATGCATTTCAAAGAAACCTACAAACAAAAACATTATAGAAGTGAAGTGATGTGTTTAATTGCTTTCCTAGTATTTTTTGGGGTCTGTCGTGTTTTCTGTCAAAAACAAGTTAAAAATGACCCCCCTTTTCACAGATGCACGCACTGATTGAACTCAGTTTTTTTCAGTATGCAGTTGTTCATCATTTTGCTTCTCAGCATCTTAAATCAAAACGAACTGGTCACCAGGCCTCTGCGACCTCCCCATATATTTTAGCTCCGAATGTAAAAGCGTGTGTGTTAATAACAAGATAACATTCACTTAATCATAAAATTACTTTTCACTACTAATAACAACGATTATGTTTTTAGCTGAATGACCTATTGCACTAGCATACGCTAATAGCAGCTGAGGAACTCGCCTAGCAATCTGGTTCCTCCGGATATGGTGCAGGAAGCCGTGGCTCATATCCAAGCGGCCACCTGGTTTGTATTTCAGCTCGTGGACCCCCTCTTCTCTTAAAACATCCATTTCAGCAAACCGCTTCCAAACAAAGTCAGTATTTAAGCACTACTGATTGCAACAAGTCCCAATCAGAGCACTGTGAACGGTCAAAAAGCTATATAGCTACGGCTAACTAACGATAACATGTTGTCCAATTATAATGCTCCCTGAGTTAATAAAAACGTTATAACTAAATTGCACACCATAAACAAATACCCATACATGACAAACCTTTATATATATATTATATATATATAAAAGACAAACAAAGGTCCAGTTAGAGTTTAGAAGTTAGGCAAGTTATTATATTAGTTTTTGGTAAGTGATTAACAGCGTGTATAGCGTTAGTAGGTTTTTAAACTCCGGGTTAGGTTTTAGTTTGCTGCTCCACGGCTACAACGCACAATCGCCGCGAGTTTCGAGGCGCACCGTGTTTGACCCATTCATCACTCCCTCCAAATAACGTAAAGTTTTAGCTTCTCCATTGTTTTGACGCCGTCTCTCTGCTGCTATGGTTTCTTTGAAGCGTGAAAGAGAGGTGGATTTAGATGATGATGACAATGAAGACGGAGGTAAGTATATTCCTCAAACGTATGCCCTGCGTTTGGTTAGCAGTTAGCGTTGTTGTTAGCCAGTGGTGTGTTCGTTTTTTTTTTACTGGCCTGTCCAGTAACGTATAGACGGATCAATAAGTGTCTCCACTGTGTGCTAAAAACAACGATACCCATCATCTTAAAGCACCCAGTGTTTGAAAACAAGCATACCTCACAACATTAAAGCTAAGCTAGTTAGCATGTTTAGCTCATTGCTTTGAAATGTTGGTACATGGTTTGGCTTGACATTTGTTCTTCTTGGGCCACTTCACGTTGCAGTGGCAGCCAAAGTGGGACGAGGACATGCAGTAGAAGACCGAAGAAGCCGCCACTGTCCTTACCTTGACACCATAAACAGGTAGGCCGGAGTAGACTGTGTATTGCTATTAAAGCTGTATTCCACCTCTGCAGGTGAATTCACGTCTGTCAATCCTGCAGGAGTGTGCTGGACTTCGACTTTGAGAAACTCTGCTCCATCTCTCTCTCCCACATCAATGTCTACGCCTGCCTTATATGTGGGAAATACTTTCAAGGTAGGCAAATTGACATTTTAACTGGGGATCAGAGACCCTGTTGTATTTGTACTGATTTGTGTGGGTTTTGTTTTGTTTTTTGTAGGAAGAGGTCTGAAGTCTCACGCGTACACTCACAGCGTACAGTTTACCCATCATGTGTTCCTCAATCTGCATACACTCAAGTTTTACTGTCTGCCAGATAACTATGAGATCATTGATTCATCACTAGAAGATATCACAGTAAGTAAAGTAATGTTTTTCATACTAAAACTAAAATTCATGTAATCTCACTGGCCACTTTATAGGGTACACCTTATTACTACAGGTTTGGACCCCTTTTACCTTCAGAGCTTGCTTATTAATTCTTCATGGCAGAAATTCAACAAGGTGATTGAAAATTCCTCAGAGAAATTAGTCCATTTTGACATGATAGTGTCAGACAGTTGCTGCAGATTTGTCAGCTGCACATCCATGATGTGTGGCTCCTGTTTCATCACATCCCATTGCTTTGAAATCTGGTGACTGGAGGCACTTTGAGCATTTAAACTCACTGGACCGTATTCACTTATCTCTGTGATCAGGATAGACAGCATTAGCTACACCAGAGGGACAGCTCAGGTTGAGCAGTTTAGAGGTGAAGTTAGAGACAAGTCTGAGGGAGGTTTGGACATGTGCAGAGGAGGGATAAGGCATATACTGGGCTGTAATGAGAAGAGGTGAAATTGAGGCAGATGATCCGCTGTGATGCCACCTAATAGGAGCAGCCGAAAGAAGAAAAAGAATCTACAGTGTAAATGTATATCTATGCTAAAGGTTAAATTACATTCAAAATAGTTTGACTTTAGTGACTTTTTTTTAAGCTGAATTGAGTGAATAAATATCTTCCAGTCTGAATTGTGACTGGATTGACTGAAGAAGCACCAGTGTTTTCAGTCTGATATGATACTAACCATGTTCTGTTTGATTTTGTCATTATTTCTGAGCTCTGGCTTTGGAAGAGTTACCACAAACAGCTGATTTGCTTACATTTCTTCTCTCTACAGTACGTGCTGAAGCCAACTTTCACCAAGCAGCACATTGCGGGGCTGGACAAGCAGGGTAAACTGTACAGAGCCTATGACGGTACCACCTACTTACCGGGCATTGTAGGGCTCAACAACATCAAAGCCAATGACTATGCCAATGTGGTGTTACAGGTATGGATATCTACCACTCTAGATTTTATTAATTGTTGTACATTTTTTGAATAATGTCCTCCCTTCTCATTTGTGTCTCTCTTTTCAAGGCTTTTTCTAATGTTCCACCTTTGCGAAATTACTTCCTGGAGGAGGAAAACTACAGAGGAATCCGCAGGCCCCCGGGAGACATCATGTTTCTCTTGGTGCAGAGGTTTGGTGAGCTGATGCGCAAACTTTGGAATCCAAGAAACTTTAAGGCCCATGTGTCGCCCCACGAGATGTTGCAGGCTGTAGTGTTGTGCAGCAAGAAGAACTTCCAGATTACAAAGCAAGGTATTGCTTTACATTCACTAAGTTGTACTTTCTGGGCTTAGGTAGGCTTTCAATACAGGTTTTGGTGCTAATTGATTGTTTTCTGTTCTGCAGGTGATGCTGTGGACTTCATGACGTGGTTCTTAAATGCCCTGCATGGTGCTCTCGGAGGCACAAAGAAGAAGCCATGTAAGTGGGGAAAAAAATTGGATTTGACTCTTAAGTTTGGTTCTAATGCAGTAGTGCATCTTTAGCCTTCTGTTGTGATATTAAAAGCATCTTAAGGACTTTAAGGGTTAATTTAATTTGTATTTTTTTGATTCTCAAACCTTGGGTTTCATACAGAATCTGCAGTCTCTGCACAAAATCATATTGTGACTGTGCAGTGTGATGGACAAGCTCCGTGGACTATGACGTTTGCAGATGACATTGTGACTTGTAGTGAGAATGTAGAGCAGGTGGAAGAGATCACTTCGACGGTTCACCTCATTATGAGGCCACTAAACCTCCCTTTTCTTGCCCTTCTCCCCTCATAGCAATCATTACAAAAGCATTTCAAGGCTACATGCGGATCTTCTCCAAAAAACTCCCACACCCAGATTTGGTGAGTTTCTTGCTTGTGTTATAAGATAATTGTTTAACATATGGACCTGAATAAGTTTAGTAATAGAAAAACTTGACTTAATTTGTTACTTATTCAAATTCTTTTTAAGTTCTGCACTCTTTAAGATTCAGTTCTTCTAAGAGTCCAATAGCATTTTACTATGTATTCTGTGAAAGTATATAACTCATTTCCTGTAAATTGAGTTGTTTATGTTTTGATGACTTTGATTTTTAAAATCTTACAGCCGCCAGAGGAAAAAGAGGCTCTGCTTACAACAGATGAGTATCAGGAGCAGATGTCTGAGTCTTCCTTTCTGTTTCTGACCCTTGACCTCCCAACTGCTCCACTGTACAAGGATGAAAAAGAGCAGCTTATAATCCCTCAGGTCCCTCTCTTTAACATCCTGGCCAAGTTCAATGGCAGCACAGAGAAGGTACCGATTCATTTTAATCCTACTGGCTTTGATAATCACTCTCACAAAGTAAAAGAGCTTGCAAATACTGCCATGTCAATATCACAGTGGAGTGATCTGTACTACTGATGGCTGTGCAGTAATATAAAGTAGAAAGTGCAAAATTGAACTAAAGGTGTCAACACTAGGTGACAGTGTTTTATCAGAAACGGTTAATGTAGCTGACACAACTACAGCCTATATCGTCCTCTCTCCTCCACTGTGCTTGCACCGATGTGGAGAACAGCTGCGCACCTCTTGAGTTTGTGCCACACACTTAGTGTCAGAATGAAGGAAGTGCGCTGCGTATATCAAGCGCAGCATTATGCCCTCTAACATCCATGACGTAGCTACTGGGTTTAACAACTTTTATTGCAGAAAACCTGCAGTGATACAAAAGTTTGCATTGAAACTTAGGTTTTTACAGTCTATAAGCATTATTAGCTTTTCCGTTAATATCCACGAACTGGATATGTGGTGCAAAGCTTAGACATGTTTGTCTTGTTTTGCTCCTGGTTATTATTGCTTTGGTTCTTTGCAACCAAGCGTGATTTCTGTCTAGCATCATGAGAAGTTTCACCTTTCAGGCTGTTCTCTAGAATCCCTTTCCTTCCACGTCTGCCTCTACATCGACATTTCTCCTCAGGGCAGTCCTCGATGCTACAGCTAATGGCCATTCAGTCATGTGGTACAAATTGGTGTTGCATAAAAGTCCACTTAATTTGATTCAAAACAATCTCTTCCTCCAAAAAAAGAAAGAAAAATCTGTTGATAACATTAATTTTGAAAGGGTATCTATTTTAATTGAAATTAGAGCATTTAAAGCTTAGCGTTACTTAGATGTGAGTTTGTTGTATTAATAATTGAACACTGAGAACAAATCTGTGTATTTTCCCTTAATTATAGGAATACAAAACCTACAAAGAGAATTTTCTCAAAAGGTTCCAGTTGACCAAACTGCCTCCGTACCTCATCTTTTGCATCAAAAGATTCACCAAGAACAACTTCTTTGTGGAAAAGAACCCCACAATTGTCAACTTCCCTATAACGTAAGTGCCATTCATGTATTCAAAATGTAGCCTTGATCAAAGACATTATACTTACTGCGTGTTGTATCTCTTGTGTGTTCATTGTGTCTTCGGTTTAAATGACGGTATGTCGTCCCTTTGTGTAATTCAACAGAAATGTAGACCTTCGTGAATACTTGACAGAAGAAGCTCAAGCCACCGAGAAGAACACGACGTATGACCTCATTGCAAATGTAGTGCATGATGGGAAACCCACTGAGGGAGCGTACAGAATACATGTTCTGCATCATGTAAGCATCTAGAACTTTTTGGTACTGCTAATAGAATTAACCGAGCAAGTTAATGCTTTTAGCCAAATTGATTTTGTAAACTGTGGCTTGTCTTAAACGGCATCCGTTTGTCTTTGTGTTTAATCAGGGAACTGGAAAGTGGTACGAGATGCAGGACCTGCAGGTGACTGACATCCTCCCTCAGATGATCACACTTTCAGAGGCTTACATCCAGGCAAGTCGACCACTCAGTTTTATGTGCAACATCCACAGTTTGAAGCAGACCATTGCATCTTCGGACTGTGATATTGACGACATGCGTTAATTGTTTAACAAGGAGTCCTTGTAGTTGACAGTGTGCTTTCTCCCCCCCTCTCAGATCTGGAAGAGGCAAGAAAGCAATGATGGAAGAAACAACCACATGGGGATTTAAAGTATTCCTCAGTGTGTGAATGACCAGAGGCTTTGTGATTGTCTTGGACATAAACTGGGTATTTATGTGTTTTAAAACAACAGAATGTTGAATGAGAGTGGCAAGAGAGCATCAGGGCATCCTTTACAACCACATGAAGCAAATGTCTGCTTGTTTTTTTGTTGTTGTTTTTTTTCCCCACAGTTTTATCTTTTTACTACTTGGAAGTTTCTAAATAAACCAGGTCCAGTACACATGTCTGTCTGCAGGTTACATTTTTTTACACCACACCTTTGATATAATTTAATACCATTTTTATTCATATGTGGTCATTTGCAACAGCAGTCAAGGCAAGATCAAATAATGTTACAGAAGCAGCAGCTGTGCCGATCAGTCAGTAGTTTCCATTATATTCTTAGAGCTCAGCGTGTGGCTTGCAGATTTTCATATTGATAATAACAGCTATTGTAATACACAGAATAAGACTTACTGTTCAGCCTTAAACTAATGTTTCAGAATGAACCCCAGCCTCAGTGGGACACGTCATGCAAACTGGAAACTTCATGTGTAACATTCATAAGGCTTATTGACTGGAATATGGAAAATTTACCCATAAAACAGCAACAATAACAAAAATGTAAAAAACAAACAATCAGTGCATCACAGGTAGAAAACATTTAACAGTTGATCAGTTTAATAAAAAGTAGGTCACTGTGTGCACAAGGCTGCAGTCAGTCTGGCAGGCTTCACTCATTCTTCTTCCACATGTATTTCTCACAGTAGGCTTGATTCTGCAGATTGAAAACACAAAGATCTGAAACAAACGTAGCGTCTCACAGAGTAGCAGTCTTCTCTGTGTATGTCAGAGGACAGGAGAAGACATAATTAAAAGACACATTCAATTAACTGGTGATTTTAACATGTAACCTGGGGTAGACCCCAACCTGACCAGTCTCAGTGGATGGAAATTGCTTGTATTCTGATCAGAGAGGACATTATGTTACATGTTTGCCACAACTAAAACTCAGGGCAGACTGAGCTGTCTTTCCATACAGATCCTGATATTTATATAAGGAGTATTACTGATGCAATCAATAAACAAACAAAAAAACTCATCAATAGGCTAAATTATTAGAAAAGAGAGTTTGGAAGACTCTTTAACAGATAGCAAGGGTTTATCAAATACACAGAAGAGTAAGAGCTGGGTCCAGCTGGCGATCTGAAGTGTTTGAGCCGATTTAATTGCTGTATATTTAGTTTTCACATGGATGTTCATGTCTTTTATCATTTCACACTACTAATAGTAAAGAATTTCACGTACACCACACTCCTGAGCAGTTTCAGCATCTTTGCACCAGTAGCTTGGTCCCCAGGTACAACGATTCTTTCCCAGCGGTTCCAGCTGCTTCGAGGCCACACACAGATCAGCTCTCTGCAGGACAGATGGAAAGAAACATCATGAGAACATGAACAACACCTAAAGAATGACAGCTGCTCATGAGTGGTGCCATCAAGTGGTTACTTGTGTGTCTGTGATTGATATTGCCCTGACTGGAATAATTCACATCGTAAATTTGCAGATCAGTGCACGTTTGTGAAGGTTTTAGTTGCTGAATTTCTGTGTTGCTGCAGGCTGTGGTAAAAATTTGAATTAGTGCTGATACAGGCTCTATGTTGCTATTCAGATGTAAACCCATTGACAATAACCTTTAGTTTATTCTTACTTCACATGCATGAGGATATCCCATCTGGTTTCCCAAGACCTTCTGCAGCCGTGAGCCGTAGATACTGGTGAAGGCTTCACACTGAAAAGAGAATCAACAGTATTATCGTGCTGTGACACTTTAAAGACTCGAGCGAAAGTCCAGACAAGAAGCTGAATGATCGCATAAAAAGGTTGGAGAAATTTACCAAAAGGCTCACTGGCTTCAAGTGTTTTAAAGTTCCATATAATTTGTAAAGAGTGTTGTTCTAAGAGCACCACTGTTAGCTGAGAGTCAGACCTTAGGGATGGCGGTAGGGTGGATGTCACACACAGACTCCAGGAAAGCATAAGTTTGAGCTTCAGTGGCGTTGAGGCCCTGGTGTAGTCGGCTCAGCGCAGCCAGTATGCGGCATGACTCACAGTCTGATGGGAGGAACACCTCTGGAGAATCAGCAACAGTAGAGCATTAATTAGGTGAATGAGGAAGTGAGCCAGGTCCAGTCTATACATCAATAACGACAAACCTGGAACCGGCTGCTCATTGAACAGACAGAGGTGCAGAAGACTGCATATCGTGTGAGGTGCAGCAGAAGACAAAAGGAATTCGACAATCTCGACGCCATATTTATTGATGAAATCGTCACACTGGTCCTTATAGTGCTTGGGTATAAGATCACAGACCTCCCCCATGACCTTCTTTATAGCATCCTGCAGGGCAAGAAGGACAAGGCAGGGTTTACACGATGTGATGGATGGTACGGTTCTTTAAATGAACCAAAGTAAAGAAAAGATGACCTCAGTCATATTTTTAGGCAGCAGACTCTCCAGCTTCTTGATGATAAACAAACACAGGGTGCAAACTGGGTTGAGCTCGTCCTGGAGAGAGAATTAGCCGATAAGAGGCCCATTTCATAAAATTCACAAAGGTTTCACTTCACTTTTCAATTTATATTCGACTTCTGCTTTCTCATACTGACATCTGTCTTTGTTCCTGTGGCCAGTGCGCGGCTGGATGTATCTGTGCCAGCTGCACGGTGGGAGAGTTTCTGCACTTTCTCTTTCTCGTGAGGAGCACAAAGTCCAAAAGCTGCACAAAGCTCTCCTGGTTTCTACAAAAAAGCAAAAACAAAAAAACAACAACCCCAAAACACAATATATCAAATATTTTACATCAAGTAAAAGGACTCTCAGAAGGCTTCAGTGTTTACTGTCTTCTTTCATAAAAAGAAGCCTCACTTGAGGTTAAACTCACCACGTGATCAGGGGTTTGATGCAGGATTTTGGGCAGGTAAGTCTTCACCTGTAAATCACACTCTGGCACCTGCTCTTCAGGGAGGCGGCGGCACAAAGCGTGCAAGCTTTCATATACGGCTCCCTGCAAACGCATGGAGAGAAATATTACAAGGGTGTGGCGGCCACTTTATTTAATAAGCATTTCTTCAAGCCCAGTTCGTGTCGCGAGTAAAACAGTGAAGTGAAAGTAAAGTGAAACCGTTCTTTACCTTGGTATCGCTGCTGAAAATCATGTTGGCCGACAGCTGGATGATCTGGCTGCATTCTGGACAGATATCCAACGTCTGCTGAAGCCACAGTGACAAAATTGCTCAGTTTTCGCGCTTTCATGTTATGCAAACAGATACAGTTTAGTTTAGTTTTTTTTTTTTCAATACATGTGCTCTTTTCGAGGCTTACCAGAGATTTCTGCTTTATGAATGACAAAGGGTCAGTAATAAACCTGGAGTCTCCTTCTGTGAAAAGAGAAAAGAAACAGAAAACAAGACAGAAGATTGCAGGTAATGGCTTCAGCATCGGTTAGCATATAGTTACAACACTACAAGGGGGTTATACGTTTTCAATAAACAGCAACAACAGCCTGGTGTAAGTTTACATTATATATTGTATACAGTAGTGTATAACTGAATAATGAATAAATGTCGTCTGGTGGGGGGGCGCAGTGATGCAGACATTAATGTGATTGTGAGTAAACGTCCATCTTACCGGGCCACAGGGACACCGCGAGGATCACGAGAACAAATCCAGATGCAGACATGGTTTAAGCAGCAGAGGACAACACAGATCGGATGATTTTGACTATAAAAACATCGGTGCAGCTGTTTGGGTTGCAGCGGAAGTACCGATCGATCGTCTTTACCCTATCAGAACGTAATGCGCAATGCGCAGGCGCCTATGGACTATTAAAGGCCATACGCTTCAAATTAAATCTCTAAACTTTCTTAGTTATCTATTGCAGTGATAAATACAGGCTAAGAGTGGATAAACGAACATTTTCCGAGCCTTGGAGGCGCATGTCTTTTAGGGGTGTCTGGTATAAAAACTTGACGCTCTTGACATAACATGAAAAGCAGAAGGGAATTGAGAGTCAAGGCTCCTTCGCCAAGAACGTGGCCACTTTTTGAAGTTTTATTTCAGGTTGTCTGGAACCTCCACTATAATTCACTCGGTTCTTCCTGTGCCCATGCGCCATGTCTCATCAGATTCAGTTAGTGTCAAACAACACGTATCACGTGCCTCTACCTTGGCTCATGAAGAAATCTAAAATGACCACCAGATGGCAGCAGAGCTGAGTAAATGTATCTGAGCTGAGGCCGGAGGGCGACAGAGCACTTTAAGAACTTATTCTGTTGAATAAATTATTGTAATAATCGTAATAATTACGATATGTCATAGACCCGAAAATACTGCCACAAGACGTAAGATTTAAGATTTATAAAATATATAAAAG